ATTACAACCGTCGTAGAGGCCGTGGCAATAACAGCAATCAACGAAATAGCCACAGAAATAATAATCAAGATATTCAATCATATGGTAATGAATATCAAAACAATAGAAACCCCCGTAGAGGCAGTACATTTAATACCTCACGTGGACAAGGGCGTAATAACATACGCGTAATACAACAAAATTCGGAAAACTAATTACCCCCCCAAACCCATACAAACATCATAAAATCTATAATTTTAATCCCAATTCAAACCTCTTAATACAAATTTATAATAATGATGCAAATAAATCAATCACTCTTCTATTAGACACTGGTGCTGACATTTCAGTAATAAAACAGTCTCACACTATTTACAATAATGTAAATACAGAAACTGTTACAATTCTAAGTGGTATTGGCCAGGGAACAATACACACTATAGGATCAACTGATCTTGACCTTAGAATTGATAACTTTCTACTAAATCACAAATTTCAGGTGGTTCATGAAAGTTTCCCAATTCCTTGTGATGGTATACTAGGATTAGATTTTATAAAACAATATAATTGTATATTAGATTTCAAACATAATCAAAATTCACTTACATTAAGACCCGATAATTTTTTTACAGATATATCAATACCTATTGAACATTCTACTTTTAATAATACAAATGATACAATTCTTTTACCCGCAAGATCAGAAACAATTAAATGTATTAAACTTAATTGCTCTGAAAATGAAGTTCTAGTACACAGTCAAGAACCAATGCCAGGTATTTACATTGCAAACGCAATTGTTACTTCTAATAATGCATTTATACGCATCATAAATAGTACTAATAAGGATACTAGTTTAAAACATAATGACATAAAGTCAGAAAGTCTATTAAATTATAACATACTTACACACACACAAACAAAAAATAATAGAAGTCAAGAAGTTTTAAATAATCTAAAAAAAAACTTCCCCAAACAATTCAATTCTCAATTGTACGAGTTATGTTCCCAATATACTGATATTTTTGGACTTGAGTCTGAACCAATAACCCACAATAACTTCTACAAACAAAAATTGTTAATGGAAGATAGAAAACCAGTATACATAAAAAATTATCGTATACCCCACTCCCATAAAGAAGAAATAAATAAACAGGTGAATAAATTAATTGATGATGGCATAGTAGAACCATCCATTTCACCTTATAACAGCCCTTTACTTCTAGTTCCAAAAAAATCTCTTCCAAACTCGAATAATAAAAGATGGCGTTTAGTAGTAGATTATCGCCAAGTTAATAAAAAACTAATTGCTGACACATTCCCACTCCCAAGAATCGAAGAAATTCTCGATCAACTGGGACGTGCCAAATACTTCTCATGTATTGATTTAATGTCTGGTTTTCACCAGATTGAACTTGATAAATATTCAAGAAACATAACGTCCTTTTCTTCGAGCAATGGCTCATATCGTTTTAAACGATTACCATATGGACTTAAAATAGCGCCTAATTCATTCCAGCGCATGATGACACTTGCATTTTCAGGCTTAAAGCCTTCGCAAGCTTTTCTTTACATGGATGATCTTGTTGTTGTCGGATGTTCTGAAAAACACATGATTAAAAACCTTAAGGATGTATTCGAACTTTGTCGAAAATACAATCTCAAATTACATCCTGAAAAATGTAGTTTCTTTATGCATGAAGTGACTTATCTTGGACACAAATGCACAGACAAAGGTATTTTACCTGACGAAAGCAAGTATGATATTATTAAAAATTATCCAACACCCAAAGACGCTGACAGCGTTAGACGGTTCGTTGCTTTCTGTAACTACTATAGAAGGTTTGTCAAAAATTTTTCTGACTATTCACGTCATTTAACCAAACTTTGTAAAAAGAATGTTAAATTCGAATGGTCAAAGGAATGTGAAAATTCATTCCAGTATTTAAAAAATGCATTAATGCAACCAACATTACTTCAATACCCCGATTTCAGCAAATCTTTTTGTATTACCACCGACGCTAGTAAGCACGCTTGTGGTGCTGTACTCAGTCAAGAATACGATGGACACCAACTACCAGTCGCTTTCGCATCAAAAACTTTCACTAAGGGAGAAAGTAATAAATCTACTACGGAACAAGAATTAACAGCAATTCATTGGGCAATCAACTATTTTAGACCGTACATATACGGAACACATTTTTTAGTAAAATCAGACCATAGACCACTCTATTATCTGTTTTCAATGAAAAATCCTAATTCCAAGCTAACAAGAATCCGACTTGATTTAGAGGAATACGATTTCACAGTGGAGTTTCTCAGGGGGAAACAAAATACAGTAGCCGATGCTTTGTCTCGGATAACCATAAATGAATTGAAGGACCAGAAACACACAAATTCAGCTATACTGAAAGTTACAACGAGAGCTGAAACAAGGAAGAATACGCAAAAAGTCTGCGCAGACACAAATTTAATAAGACCGACACATCAAAATCATGATAAGCCCAAAGTTTATGAAGTCGTTAGTAGTAACGACGTTAAAAAATGTGTAAAATTAAAATTATCATCCCACAATTGTTTCTTGAAGCATGGGAAAAGAATTTTAAAACACATATATGTTAATGATTTAATCACTAATGGAAATTTAGACCTAGGTCTGCTATTCCAAAGGCTTGATCAACAAGCCGGTGAATTAAAAATTAAACATTTACAAATGGCACCTTGCGAAAAGATTTTTAAATCTGTATCGCTAAATTCTTTTAAAGAAATGGGCAACAAAATATTAACAAATCTTCAAATAGCGCTATTACCACAGGTGACAAAGATAAACGAAAATAATAAGTCGGCAATTGAAGCTATTCTTCACCAATATCATGATGATCCAGCAGTAGGAGGTCATACTGGAATTACCAGAACATTGACTAAAATAAAACAAAGATTCTACTGGAAAAACATGACAAGAACTATTACCAAGTACGTAAAAAAATGTCTAAGTTGTCAACTGGCCAAGACAACTAGACATACGAAAATGCCTTTAACGAAAGTGCAAACGCCTATGTCTCCATTTGACACTGTGTTAGTAGATACCATTGGTCCACTCCCAAAAACGGAGAACGGCAATGAGTATGCAATCACATTAATATGTGACCTAACAAAATATTTGGTAACTATTCCAGTTCCAAATAAAAGTGCCAAGACTATAGCGAAAGCAATTTTCGAAAATTTTATTTTACAGTACGGACCCATGAAACGGTTTCTAACTGACATGGGTACAGAGTACAAAAATTCAATTATGAACGATTTATGTAAATATCTCAATATCGAGAATATTACATCAACATCCCACCATCATCAAACGCTAGGTACTGTAGAACGCAGTCACCGCACGTTTAATGAATATATAAGATCTTACATCTCTGTCAATAGAGATGATTGGGATGTTTGGATTAAATACTTCACGTATTGCTTCAACACAACACCATCGTTAGCACATGGATACTGTCCATACGAACTCCTGTATGGACGTATTCCAAGAAAATTCTATGATTTCAATAGTGGTAATATAGATCCACTATACAATATAGATGATTATGCTAAAGAAAGCAAATACAGATTAGAAGTAGTTCATGAAAGAGCAAGAAAAATGCTCGATAAATCAAAATTAAAAAATAAAATTAGTTATGACAATAATGTACATAATTTCCAATTAGTAATAGGAGATAAAGTTTTATTAAAAAACGAAGTAGGTCATAAATTAGAAAATAAATATATAGGTCCATATTCAGTTAAAGATATGGAAATAGGTAATAATATAGTTATAGTAGATAGTAAAGGTAAAGCACAAAAAGTGCACAAAAATAGGTTAAAACGATATATTAATTAAAAAAAAAAAATAAATAATAAAATCCAAATAATATATATATATATAGTAATGAATGAATGAATGAATGAATGAATGTAGATATGTATAATGAAAATATATTTGTAATTAAATAAAAAAAAAAAAATTCTTTTATATGCAATATATAAGCAATATATTAATAATACATTAATATATACAATTATTAATAATTACATAAAATTTTGTTTAAAATTTTATTACATTATTTTTTTAAAACAGGAGGTGTAGCGTGCATAAGCATACACTATGTGAGTAAATAAGTATGCTGATATTTATTGTAACTTTATTGCATTCTTGCAATATGAGCCCCTACCGTCCGTTTGACGATAGTGTTTGGGCTGGCGTGTGAAGACGCCAATTCAGCAAATTCTCACAGTATGCTAATGCACACTGCTCCTCCAAATATGAACTTTGTAAAAACATATTACAATCAATAAAGCAAGTCTAAAAAGAGAACACGGTTTTTAAATTACTACAGCTTTTAGTTTGATCTGTTTCACGAGCTACTAGTAGTAACTTTGTATACACAAGTGCGTTCCACCAGCAAGTTTTCGAGTAAATGAGAATATATGAGAGAACGTAACATCCCTGTCGAAATTTAAAAATGTTACACAAACTTTAGTCGTACATTGTATTTCAAGTAAAATTTGTGTTGATGTGTGAATCAGCAGTTTTGGTTTGAATTCAAATTTTTGTATTGTTTATTTGAGCTGCACTAGTGTTCTCAGACTTTACACAAAGCTGTTTCATGAAAATCTGTCTAAAAAGCGTAATTTGTCACTCTATTTGTGTCTCTTACTTACGCTCTTACTTTGTACTTTACTTGTGTTTTATTTCAGTTTTACTACGAGTAGCTCGTGGAACAGACCCATTATATCAAGCAAATCAACTAAAACAAAAACTTGCACTTAAGCCTAATTAGGATTCATAGTACCAAATCTTATCAGAAATATTCCCATGTTTATAGCGATTTTCAAATATGACATATATATACATATATACATAAAAACTGAAACTTTTGTACGAATTACCTTATTTCTGATTATATATGGTTTTAATTACAACAACATTATAATTTAAGTCAAAATAATAATATGAAAATATTTAAATTATTAATATTAATTTAAGGTTTGAAGTTTGTAAAAAAATTTGTTAGCACACTTTAAAATGGAATAAGTTGGCAACTGTTTCGATTATACTGAAATACAGCACTGCTTTAGGTGCAGCCATGTTTTCGCCGGCCTCATCATATTAGCGGATATAAGTGATTGATCTATACACAAATATTATTTTTAAAGTGTGAACTATATTTTAGAAAATAAATTCAACTTTCTTAAATTGGGGTAAACATGAATTTAGGAAGACTTGTATGTGTTTCCGTTTTCGGGATATTATTAGCTCATTTAGCTAAGGGCAGTGAACCGGCAACGGAAAATTTTGCAGTTCCACTAAATTCTAAAAATTTCGATGAGGAAATGCAGAAAAATAACCACTTTGTAATGTTTTTTGCGCCATGGTATGTAATTTTTCTGTTATTTTTGTTTTATTAATTCAATTTTTGATACAATAAGAATATGTATCCATATTCCATAAAACATCTTTAATCCGTATGTTTCCTTAAAAAAACCTTATCTATATATGATAGGAAATACACAAGATCATAATTAAATTCTTCGGTCGCGGAAAGTTGTAATAAGTAATAAAGACTGCCTCTACAATTGTTATCTTATGTCAATTTATAAAGCAGTTAGTTTCTTATTTAAGATAAAGAAACAGCTTATTAGTAGTATCAGTAAAATAAAATTGGTTTTATTTATGGAAGTACTACATCTAACGTTTGTAATTGTTTTTTTTAAGGTGTGGGCATTGCAAGCGTTTGCATCCTCTATGGGAACAACTGGCTGAAATAATGAACGTTAAAGATGCACCAACAGTGATTATATCGAAAGTAGATTGCACAGAGCATCAAGATTTGTGCAATGAACATGAAGTCACTGGGTATCCTACATTACGCTTCTTTAAACGTGGAGAAACAGGTTCTATAAAGTTTAAAGGAACTCGAGATATGCCCGCTATTACAGACTTTATCAATCAACAATTGAATCGTGAAGATGTAAAATTTTAATAATTTAAAAACTGTTTATATGTATTTATATACAAACATTTTTAATTTAAAGGAAAATGTGATAACGAAAGAGGTAGAAGAGGTAAAGCCTGCTTTGTCGTCCACAGGCAAATTAATTGAGCTTAACGAAGAAAATTTCGCTAAACATGTATCAACTGGAAATCATTTTGTTAAGTTTTATGCTCCCTGGTGCAGTCATTGTCAAGTAATTAAGTTATAATTGAAATTTTTTATTAAACCGAAAATAAATATTAACTTATATATAATGGATTTTTTCTTAGCGTCTCGCTCCTACATGGGAAGAGTTGGCCAAAGTATTCGAAAATAAGGATTCTGTAAGTATTGCTAAAATAGACTGTACTGTGAATCGTCCTATTTGCCAGGACTTCGAAGTGAAAGGGTATCCAACATTATTATGGATTGAAGATGGTAAAAAAATTGAGAAATACTCAGGAACTCGTGACCTCGAAACTTTAAAGACCTACACTTTAAAAATGTTGGATGCATATGTTAATACAAATGACGCAGAGATTGAAGTGGTAAACGTTGATAATAGTAAACCAGTATTGCTAACTGCCGATGACTTTGAAAAGCATACAAATGAAGGAGTTTTATTTGTAATGTTTTATGCACCATGGTAAGCCAGTATTAAATATTAATATATTAGGAATTCTAATATAATTTTTTTCTTATGCAGGTGTGGCCACTGCCAAAAGCTTGGTCCAATATGGGAGCAGTTGGCTGTCAAAATGCACGCAAGCAATAAAAATGTGAAAATAGCCAAAATTGATTGTACGCAGTCAGAAAACAAAGCAGTTTGCCAAGAGCAGGAAGTCGCAGGCTATCCGACTTTGATCTTGTACAAAAATGGAGATAAACAGCCGGAATATGATGGGGCTCGTGGTCTTGCTGACTTACAACATTACATTAACAAAATGATTGGTCATGATGAGCTATAATTTAATATAGTTTTAAATTTTTCCTGCCATCAAAGTTGTTCATATACATCTGATAGAGTGATTTTTCAATTTTAGGTATTCATTATTTTTATTTGGTTCAATATTCTTGTTTTTGAAAATATTTATTTTGATTTTGTTTATAAATGGATATGGTACCCCTTTAAGACAGTTGCAACTAAAATATTTATTAAAATAATTTCTTGAACAAATAATTGTTTGTTTTCTTTTTATTAAGGAATATCTTTTACTTTTGCAGTAATATTTATATTCCTTATACGAAAAAGCGTGATGGGATAGCCAACGACATCTAAAAAATCGAACAGCTGTTTTTGAAAAATAGTTATTCTTTAATAAGATCAAATATGTCGCTGTTGTCCATGCTTTTTGCTTTCAAGCTAATTTCACATTTAGGTAGTACAGTAATCCCCCTATAACGCGGTATCCTTATAATGCGTTTTTATATTACATGATTTTAATCCCCCGTATAACACAGGCACCCCCCTTATAACGCGGGAATTTATACAGTTCATAATAGGTTCGCATACCTTTGCACGTGTATATATGGGGTATACGGGAATAACCTTATAATGCGGAACTCAGTTACATTTTTCGTTCTTAATACTACATACCCTAGTAAATCCCAGATTAATCAGATTAAGATTTGGTCGTTTCCATTGGCTTAAGTTAATTTATGCATGTGAAAGAGCTTTTATTAGTCTGAAATTTCTGTGAAAGTTCTAGGAGAGGTTTTGTTTGTTTACATTTCCATTGTTAGCAGATGATATTTAGGTCGTGTGCGAGTTAGGCTAAGTTGCGTTCTAAATGAGGGAAATACTAAGTTGTGCCGATAATATAGTGATGTGTCGATACGTGTTGATAAATGGCTAAATGTGTGCAGTGCAAAAAATCCCAAAAAATCTCCCATTTGGTTTAGCATCAACTTAGCCTAACTCGCACACGTCCTTAGCTTTGTATTGTTAACAGAAATTTATTATATCATCATGAAAAACGCAGGATTACTAATCCAATAAAATGCAACTTTAAAAAAATTCCAATATGACACTTTTGGGTGCAACACAAAGATAAAATAACATTGATAATCAAAATAAATTCTAAAGTGATCTATTATAAAAGTACGATTTTATTCAATAAAATCAAAATAGAGGGAGAAATGATCGAAAATTTTATGATTTTTTTTATTATTATTTACACTAAGAAATTTAACTCTATAACAATAACAATATATAGAGGCGAATCGTATAGAAAAGTTATTTTTAAAAAAACAAATTGATTGCTTTTCAACTTTTATTTGTTATTTTTAAAATTTTTTAAATTGTTTTGAAATTCAATTTTCGCTAAGTTTGAAAGTTAAAATTTAAAGTTTTTTTAAGTAAAAATTGCTGATTCAATTAGAACAAGATAAGTCTAAACATACTATACAACTTAAAACATAATAGTGTTTGAATAACATAAGGTGTGAGCATTTTCTCCACCAAAGCGCATTTACAATATCATACACTGAACAGCCTGCCTAAATTTTAGACGACAATTGCCACATCTAAGTACCTTAGAGTAAACATAATAACAAAAAATATTTATGAAGTAGTGAAGTATATTTATTTGTGAAATAATAATTTTAGAGCAGTAATTCGTAATTTTATTTATTATTTAAGTATAAAATAATCCAATATGGCCGACATTACTGGCGGTCACAATGAAAAACCTGGATTTACTAAAATAGAAAATATGGATACTGATGACATTAGTCAGGACGGAAGTTTGGTAAGTAATATTTGAAAAAATTATGATTAATAACAATACAATAAAATATTTGATATGTTTAGATGAATAATTCCCAGAGCGTTCTTGAGAAAATTGCTAATTTATATGCTGAACAATTAATGTCTGACATTATATTGGTTGTTGGCACTGAGCAATATCCTGCACATCGTGTTATTCTCTGTGCTAGCAGCGAGGTTTTTCAAGTAATGCTTATGAACCCCGAATGGAATGAATGTCGCAAGCGTGTTATTGAGCTTGTGGAGGAACCGTGTTGTACGGCCGTTTTTCCACAATTTCTTAAGTATTTGTACGTTGGACAAATCAAAATAACGCTACAGACTGTTATGCCAATGCTGGCGTTAGCGGACAAATACAATGTGAAAGTAAGTGTTCAATACAACTAAAAAGCAGATAATTTCGAATATTTTTTTTAGGACTTAGTTGAACTTTGCGTTGACTATATGATGAAGCATATAGCGAAAGCAGCCACTCAGGGTTATCTAGTTTCATGGTTACAATATACTATTGCGTTTAGTCCCTCACATGTAGATTTGACAGAATCTCTTAAGCGTTTTCTCAAGTGGAACCTGGAAATAGTTAGTGAATCAAAAGATTTTGTGGAGTTAGACTTATCGATTATGGTTCTTCTATTACAACAAAATGATGTTGTTGTAATAAGTGAATATCAGTTGTTTAAAATTTTGCAAAGTTGGTTACTGCATCGTCGGGAGCTATTAGAAAATGATGACACACTAACGTTGGAAGAAAAAGATTCTTGCTTTCAATCGCTAATCGAACAGACTGTAATACATATTCGTTTTGCTATGATGTCACCACGTGAATTGGCACATTTGTTGTTATTTCCTTTACTGGAATATGGTAGAAATTTTATAATTGAACGATTGGCTATAGGTATGAGTTATCATTCTGGACACGAGGAACGTGTGGAGGAAGTAAGAAAATCCAGAGATGGTAAGCTGCAATTCACACCTCGTCTATATTCTAATGACACATGGAGTGTAAGCATAGAAGTGCATAAATTTGATCAAATTGAAAAATATAAAAATTATGTAACGTGTTTTTTTTCTTTGAGAAATATTGCTGAAACAGATGACGGTAAAAAACATATTTATATAGTTATTAATTTTACTTTTTATAATAATTTTTTAAACGCGTTTTTAGATCATGCAATAACTTGGGAAGTCGAGTTCTTTCCACGTGGTGTTAAATATAACCGAGCGAAAATGGTTTGGGGAGAGGATGTGCCAGAGTTCTCATTAAATACTGTACGCTTACGTGCGACATGTAAACACTCAAATATTGGAGAGGAGCGTTTTAAGGTAAGACAGTTTAGCATCTTTAAAAACTTATATTATAATTTTTGCGTGTTCCATTCTAAATTTCGTAGATAGCGGTTTTAATAACTGGCGTACAGAACAATATTAACCATATACTCACAGTACACGAACGCACTGAATATTTTTCAAGTAAGGTGCGTGTACTTAATATAGACAATTTAATACCCTTCGATGAACTGGCTTTGTCTTCCATTAAATTAAGCCCACATTTGATTGGGCCTGAACGTAACAATCTCTCAATACAAGTTATAATAGCGCCAATGGGTCCATATACTTGTCGTGATGTGCCACCATTTGATTTAAAATAAAATTTTAAGAAGTACTATCATTAGCCATAAGCGAGATAGTTGAACTGAAATTGTGCTAGAATGTAAGAATTTTTTGTTAATCATATAAATACTGTAAAATATTTTATTTTGTAATAGTGAAGTTTTTAATATCTAAATATTGTTTGGTTTTTAATGGGTGTGTACCTAAAATTATGTTAGTGATAACACTAAAAAAATTTATTGCAATTATAAGTTGAATTTCATTTTGAATGTAACGTACATATGTCTCGGATATTGCCAAAACATATAACTTATAATCGTAAATAATATTTACACTAAAAACCATTGACTAATTGTAATTAAACTCACAATAATTTTTTTTTTAATAAATCAAAAAATTTCTGTTCAATTCATAAATAAAATAAATTTGATTAATGATTTATATTCTGTAATTTTTTATTACACTTAAATTACTTTGAATTTAAAATGATTCAGTTATTGTCTTTGTGCAAAATTTGTAATTTAATTTAATTTATAATTATTTAGTTTTATGTTTATGACAATTACTATAAATAATTTATTAATAATTTCAATTACAATATACTAATTTTAATCGTTAATGCGAAATATATTCTTTTTTGTTTTTTTGTTGTAATAATATTTAATGAGATAAGAGTTAACTTCAAGTTCAAAATTATAGCTTTAATTTTTTTGTTTATTCAACTAATTCCTACTGTAAATATATAAATATGCTACTATAATTTTTATAGTTATTGTTATACTTTTCTTGCAATTATACAATTATAATTATTCATCTAGTTATCTTAAAAGCGTGTAATATTATTTTGAATATATTATTTAAAAAATTATCATTGAATACCAATAATTTAATATTTTTGTAACTTATTGTATTCTTAATCATGTTTAATTATGCATATATATATATATATATGTAAGTATAATATGCCAATATATGTTTATTTAAAAAATTTTTTAATACAATATTGTATGAGATCAAAATTACTGTTTCTTTTAGAAGCAATTAAGCAAGTAATTTCATTTGTAATAAATATATAAGTCCATCATATCTTCAATTTTGTTTTCTTAAATTATATGACGTATGTGTTATGAACATTTAAAAATATAATAAAAGTAGAATCTCACGCAATGGAGCAGTTAGTAACAATAATTTTTACATATGTTGTTTACAGATATGAGTTGAAAAAATACAAATCTACACCAAAGTACCGTTTGCTTTAATATGTGACAAAATATAAATATAATATAAAAAATGTAATCAAATCGCATTTTTAAGGTCAGAATCTTTTTGCTTGCAAAAGTAATCAATAGTCTCAAATATTATTTGTATAAGGCATAATTTACAAACAATGCATCCGTTTTTTTAGTATTTATGTGTTCAATATTTTATATTTCAGTATGTCAGTACCAACAAAAATTTAAAATTTTCGAATGAAAATGTTTAAATTATTGTAAATAAAATTAATCTCACTATATATAAACTCATATAAAATTATCTCTATTACCTACAATCATGACTAGAGCTTTATTGTTTCCAAATGAGTAAAGATTTTCAGCATTCGCAATGATTTTTTAAGTTTCAAAGTAAGAAGGTGTAGCTTGATATCTGATAACTCATTTATAAGACAAATAAATTCATAAAATTAAAATAAGAATAAGAATTTTAATTTAATAGGAAGTGGTAGAAAAAATTTTAATTAGTCTCGAAGTATCACGCGACGGTTCAACACTTACGTGCGGTGAAAAATGTTAATGCAAAATGTTGTAAAATTCACGTTTTCGCAAAATTGTTTAAAGGACATTGAAGATATATATTGTTTGAAGGATATTTGAAATAAAATTAAATTAAATAATTCAATTAAATAATTTTGTAAATTCAAGTGTTTTATAATTTATTTACATATATTCTACACCATTTTATTATTTTGTTTAAAAGAAAATGGATAATCCTGCTTATGTCATAGACTTCGAGAAAACATCAGGTTTGGCTTAACATCTATATTATAATTAATAATTTTAAATACATAATTTTATTTATTAGTTATATATTTAATTTTAGTTTTCGCTTTTAAATTATTAAACAAAGTTCTTTGCAAATTTTAAGAAATTTCTCCATTAAATAACTGATTTATAGTAAGTATAGTTTAAATAGGATTTTGGAAAGGGGAATCACTATTTATGGTATACTATAATACACATTATTACAATATAACAAAATTATTTAACCAACATCTTATGTAATTTATTAATAAAAAGTATTACATTTTATGTCTTAGATAGAATGCATAAGAAATATCTGCGAGAAGTTTATTTCAATAGTTCATTGTATTTTAACTATCAAAGGATCTCGTGGTTTTCTCAATTCGAAAGAGAGTTTAATCAATTGGACTAAAAATCACATATCCCTTCCGCAAAAAATTGAGAAATGTGCGTATTGCTATAGGAATAAATTCTATAAATATGTTTATCTGTGTGGAGAATACATTTTTTCATTAATATGTAATTGCGGAATTATCATCGAAACGAATAAATTTAGTATGACTTGTTGATATCTATCATGAAAAATAAGAACATATAAAGAGAAAAAATTTCACTTAAGAATTAGAGATTAAGAAGGGGGAAGAGTATAAAAAAGTGGGTGGATTAACATTCTTGAACCTAACCACATTGAGAATCTTGGTGAAAAGGGATCAATGTATACAATGGGGATAGAGGGCTCGACTAAACGTAGTTCCATTTAAATATCTATATGTGTAGTATGAGAGGAAAAATTGTTCCGATAAGACCTAATTGTTTTCGTTTACACGGAGTATTTTGATTTCGTATGCAATATACTTTGGCATTTGATAAAAGTTCACAATGTCTTTTGTTTTGACACGAATTAATTTTATCCGATTATATTTCGTAGAGCAGTGGGAGTCCAATAGTCTCATTATTTATTCTCTGTAGTCTGCAAATACTTTCAGTACGTTATTGAAGCTGTACAGCTTACGGCATAAAGCAGTGTGAAGAAAGTGAGTATACTCCTTAGTACAAAAGTAACGATTTTAGAATTGGTGGTAATAGAAGCCCTGAATTCTCTGATGGAAATGAGTAGAGTCATAGCAACCTCTTTATACCAGAAAGAGTAGTTAAAGATTTGGTTGGAAATAGGTGAAGATTTATATTTAAAAAGAAACTATTTGTAAAAGAATTTTGCTGATTTTGTTTACCTCTGTGACAGGGTTCTGGATCGACATTAAATCATATATATAAGAAGAGCTTTCTTCAATTTAAAATATTTAAGCATTAAAAATTACTGAAAAGTATACAATTTAAATTATGCTTCGCTTTTATTAGAATGTAATCTTAAATGAATTTATCTTCAAAATTAACATTCAAATATGATAATCCCTATATTCAAACGTTGAAGATCTCCACAAACGGCAACAGAGTAGCAAACTATTGCGTTGATTAGCGTTTATAATATTTTCATACGCATTTAACAAAAAAAAAACGGTTAAATAATTTCACAATTATTATTTTAAATTTAATTATTATTGCATAAATTTGGTAAAAAGAAAACAGTTGCCTTTTATATTTATTAGCCTTATATTTTTTTCCTGCAATATATTATCTTAAAAACATGATATGATATTATCTTAAAAACAAACATATAAAATCAAAACCACAATGAAACTAATTTCGATGAAATCTTTTTCGAAGATGATACTCCTTATAATAAGTGTTTTCTTTTAATCTGCGTTAACTTATGATATTACAGATAGGGCAGATTTTTAGTCTTTTGAACTTAGTTTTATAAATTCTCTTGACACTCTACTGCTAAGTCATTCTCGGGTCTTTAACTTTTACAAATCGGTTCAGATGTCATCATTGCATATATAGGCATCTGTAACATCGTATGTGTAGAACTTTGTAGGTCAAGAACGCCTGATGTGTGCAGTTTTCCTGTTTTTTATCTATAAACTTACTATTAATGTGGTTGTTGAATATTTATGTGTGGTTTTTTGTTAATAGGATTTATGGATCATAACTACATTTAATCAGTCAGTATAAGATTTAACAGTTATTGCTATTTTTTTACAAAAGAATACGGAGTATTATTGGACGTAGATGATATAAAAAATGCAAAAGACCAAATCAAAGTGTTTTTTTTGATGTAAGTTGAATTCAATAAAATACCAGGGACTCTAAAATATATTGTTAAAAAATAATAATAATAATCAGCGATGACAATAGTTTTAATCTAAACAAAAACTTTTAGGCAGATTAAACAAATATAATGCTTTATACAGACAAATTGTATTATTGTTTATGAAATGATATTTAAGATTTGGACTATATAATGATATCGCAACTTCCGTAAATAAATTTTCATATTATATATTGAGTACAATAAATTTCTTTTATAATTTATTTAAGATCCATACCTGTAGAATATCGCCTTATTTAAATCTAGACGATTCTGCCCAACAATGATGCAAAGATGATCTCTTATAACATAACATATTAATGACATTAGGTTTGTAAATGTCCAATTTGAGCAAAAGACATTCGAAATAAGACTATTATGATCGCAGACTACCTCTTCCACTGAGAACTGCTGTCGTTGTTAACATTCAATTCAAAACTCGTATTTAGGGCAGGTATATTCATATAGTATATCAACTTATGCTTCAAATTTATATTTAAAGCATAATATCATGAATTTGAAGCATTGTAGGATAATCTTCAGTATATAGATGAATGAATTTAAATACTTTAGGAAATGTTTAGTATCATTTTGCAGTATTCTTTCAAATTTTATTTATATATTTCAAATCTGCGAAGGTTAATATTTTTAAAAACCAATAAGCATAGATATATAGAAATTACTAGACCAATTTGTCCAGTCAAGTTTAATTTGTTTGTTCTCATTATGATTTAAGTATAAAAAAATAATGCTCTAAATTGAACTCATAATAATACCTAGTAAATATTTTTAAAAAGTTTATATTCCATATTGTTTGTTAAAAATTTTGACCATGTTTTTACCAGCCAAATCCAAGAGGCATCATTAAGACTTACTTATCTATACATCCTGAGTTAAATTGACAATTAGGGAGGTTTAATTTAAAAAATCATTTTCTTAAATCAATATAAATAAAATTGATATTTTTTTTACATTAATAGCTTTTATTTTTATTATCGAATTAGTTTACATGATCGTTTCGCTTTAGTCATAGAAATAAAGTTCTTAAAATCTTTCATTCATTTTTTAGTGAATTATTCGAAATATGCGATATTTTTTTCTTATATAATCTCCTTTATGATTTATTGTTATTATTTTTTTTATACATTTCTTTCTTATGAACTGATATATAAATTATTGCTCATATTATAATGCGATTTTTTGTAATGCGCTTGTGATATATTCTTTTCGTAAATACATATATTAGTGAGAGTGTGTGGATAATAGGTATGGATATAGATCTCATTTAACATTTAATATATATTTCTCAAATTACTAACATTTTTATTCTACATTATTATCTCGTTTTTGTTTTAAACTGTATATTGCGAAACTGAATACGATTTGTAGGTCGCTGAGAACCTATTAATATATCTAAAAGTACATACATATATAATTTCTAATTCAAATATGTGTCTTATGATATGATCCATAAAGTTCATGTTTCTAAGGTCGGCTTTGATTACAAAAAAGGTATATATTTTCTCAATTCCGTATAATTCTGGAGATCAAATCTCAGTTTACTAAACAGCAAAATGTCAGAGTTTGCCAGCAATAAGTAAGGCTTTATACTTCTGCCTGCTTTTCAATAAATTCATTGTCTTGCTCATCTCATAGCTGTTCTCTTCTATATTCTGAAACTACTTCATCTACGTAAAAGATGTAAGCTGCTTTTAAAAACAAAAAATTGCTTAGTATTGTTTAGCACTTAAATTACTTTTCAAAAATAAGTTCTCCTGTTAAAAATGGATTCAAATAAGGTTGTGTATCATAGCCAGATGATGTGATACGTTTGTGTGACATTGCTAAACTGTTTGATTTCTTCTCAGATTGCGTGTAAAGTGGCCGCTTATCCTCTTGTGAGTTTAAAATCAGAGGAATCGGCATTGCTGTATAGGGTGCAATTTCCTTAACAATAGAAGTTGATGGACTTAGCGGTGGTTCATTTATGGGCTTATTAATATCTGTGGAGGGTCTTTTATGTGATCGGCGTTGGTTGTTGATGTTGGTGCTACCGCTGTGTCTGTTGTGATGACTGTAGTGTTTCCTGTGTTGTTTACGCCTGTATCTCATTGGAGTAGTATCTAAAATCGGCACATGTATTGTATCCATACCAGGTATTGGAGGTAGACGTGGAGGTTCTAAAAGGAATGTGCCATTTGTTGGTGTTATTGGTTTCTTATTTAAGTCATGAGAGTTGGGTTGTATAATTGTAGCAGTAGCAAAGACTTCTTGAAATTTGTTACCAGCGGCCAATTGTTGTAGTTGTAAATGTTGCTTTTGTAAAAAGATTTGTCGTTGCTGTTGCAATTGATTTAAAATACGATATTGTTCCAGGATGTGCCTGTAAAATTGTTCAGCGGTTACTTCTGAGGAATTAAGTAGTCGTATTGCTATTTTTTCGGGTATTACTATTTTCTCTGCAAAGGTACAAAAATGGTTTTCATTGTTACAAAATGTTCCAAAAATATGAGAATTGTAAATTTATATATAAATTATTTTATATGGCTTTATAATAGATATATAATGAATTAAAACTGAAATTAAATAATTCCTTGATTATCAACCTAAAAGTATATATTAAGCCAGGTAAGGGGGAAATGGTCCATAGATTATATTCTCTGATGTCTGAATAAAAGATATCTAAACATCTGTTATAACAATACATACATAGTATTCTTTAGATTCCGATATAATACTCTCAAAATAATTGGAATGAAATTGGAGCAGAAAATTGCAATGCATTGTAATTAAAATCTAAGTATTTATTTCAAGTGTCAGAGTTGAAGTTAATTAGATCATTAAAGCAGCTTAAACAAAAATCAAGTTGCGCAACCTTTCTAATACCTTTATATCTTTAAAAGTAGTGTTGATGTAGATTAGATTAGATTATGCTGGCAGGCCAAAAAGGCCACGCGTAGACCATTAAGGTCCATTGCGATACCAGATCAGAGTCTTGTTTTAGCGATTGTATGCATCACTTAGGATGAGCGTTTCATTAGCAAAATTTATTAAGATTCCAACAGAAACCTCAGGTATGTACTCCAGTCCTGTAAAACTGAAAGCCCTCAAGTATTTTTGTCGAGTTCTGGAGAGAGCCGGGCAATTACACATCAGATTAGTGTTGATGTAAATTAGATATTATTAATTTAGTTCAAAATTGTACAAAGAAAAAGTTTTTAAATTCTTTACAACCCACCTAATTACATTATTAAGAATTAACATACATATGATATTGTGCTTAAAACATAGTACATATTTCAATAGTTCAGCATCTTAACTCCCATCTTGGTTCCACCTGATTGCTTATAAACACTTTCATAGATAACGAATTACTTAAATCTAAACAAATTTGTATACTGCACTCTGGTCGATAAGGCTTTTGACATATTTAGTTGCGAAACTTATCTTCTCTATCAATACTTCCTATTTTGGTATTGATTTGCGTAGCATTTGAGCACCTCAGCTTGTGAGCAAAGTTTTGTTATGGTTTTGATGCAATGAAAGTGAAAACGCACAACTACACCTGCCTTTACTTTAATATTGTATATGAATAATTACTATATACATATAAACATATATGTATGTATATGAAAATTTGTCACACGACACACATTCAAACATAATTGAATTATACATAAACACAAAGGCACCCAAGCACGAAACCCCATTGACCCAATTTCATATTAGTTTTGCAATATTGCAAGTTAACAACGGGAACAACAACAAACGGCCGTGCATATATAAAAAAACAATATGAAAGGCGTTGTGCATTTGAAAATTTCCTCGCTACCCTGGCTTGCTCTACTTTTAGCGTGTTGCAACCATTTTATATTTTTCAATGAAAGTGTGAGTAAATAACTATAAGTAGCTGTAAATACGTACATACATCTATGTATATATATAATACATGTGTATATATTAAATTAACTACGAAAGAAGCTATGTAGTTGAAAATAAAATACAGACTATACCAATTGGCAACTGGAACTGCATATACTATATACTATATACATAATATACATATGTGCGTATGTGTGTATATATAAATGTAGATTTATATGCATGTATGCATGTGTTATGCATGCATGATTTGTCCTAGTTGTAGCAAATGCTGTTCTTATTGTTTTTGTAGGAATATTTTATTAACGCTGCAAATTGCTGTATTGTTGTTATTTAATTTTACATATTGCAAACTGTGCTCTTACCACAATTATTGGCCTTTGTCACAAACGGTCGTACTGTAGGGTCCCATATAAAAATATAATACAAGGAAAGCATTATTGCCGCCAACGAAACGCAGAGCACATAAACTGCAACAGTGAGAATGCGAATGACCTTACGGTTACCCTGTGGCGGTTGGTAGCAACGACTTATAGTCTCAGTCGGCGGGAGTTTCACTTTTTCCTCTAGTGAGCCAACTTTGGAAATCATTTTTATAGCTAATACAACGGTTGCTCTTGTTTTCCTTGCTCTTGTTGTTGTGTTTGTTGTTGTAATTGTTGCTGCTACTATTTTGTTTTTGATTTAATGCTTTTGTTTTATTATTATTGTACGAAGCCTTTTGTCTTTAGTGGGGCGTTGTAACGGAAATTTTAATGATTTTTTTTTAATTTTTTTAATTCAGTATTAGAATTCATAAAGAATAAAAAAAAAAAATTCGTTGGTGTTGCCTTCAAAGTTTCAACTTTTGATATGTTAAATATTTTTCAATTTTATTTGAAATTTTTAGATTTTTAGATTTGTTTACTTAATTTTTGTTTGCTTTTAAATGCTTCTTATTGTGTTGTTGTACACATACATACTTAAATATATAATTTTTTATATTGGCTCTATTGTGCTTTACTAATGTTTGAAATTTCTTTTAAATTTGTTTATATATTTTCAATTAATTTTTAATTTTGTGCTGAAAAATTTTATTGTCGTTTTATGGCAGTTTGTGCAATTTTATTTCAGTTCAGTTCTTTTATAAAACTTATAAAAATTTAATAACTCTGCGACTAATTTTCTAATAGACTGTTTATTAACTGTTCAAGCCGTTTGGTAACGTTCCGGCGCCGCACGCAACTGCAACTAAAGTGAATCTACATCCCAAACAAGTCGAAATTCTTTGTAGGAATAAAGCACAAAACATTACGAAGGAATTACTCGTTATCGTTCGTTTACTCGTAAGCTTCCGTGTTCGCTTACCACTACCACTACACACCATCTGTTCTGTTGGGCTGGCTATGCTGTTACTGCAATGTTTCCTTGCAGTTCTTCATAAACTCAAAAGACTAAACAGCAAAAATCAACAACAACAAAAAAAAATAACAATAAAAATTATGACTGTGGGTGGTGGCACAGTTGAAGTTTAAATAACCTTAACTTAGCAGCTTTTGCAAACAAAAAATTAATTGACCCCAAGTTAACCTCTCGCGATGGGACATATTCTCAGAAATTATGCAAGGAAGGAAAAATTAATTACTTTCTATTACTGTTCTTAGTAAAAGAAAAGACTAAAAATATATACAGGACGCGATTCAAGTGTTTTAAAACCTCAAGCTTAAGATCACATCGTTAATAACAGTCTGTACATAAGATATTATTTCTAGTTATTACGGAAAGTGAATATTCGGTGAAGGCCGTTCTTGAAAAATTTCATCAAAGACGGGAATTATTTAAATGATAATTAATCTATATATTTAAATATTAATTTTATTTTTTCTGCATTTATTTCTTTTTTGTTTTTTACTGCTGTTACCTAAGAATTATAGCGGGATTATTGACTGACCGTAGATTGAATAATCACAATAATCACCTATCGAAGTCATGAATTCAATGCAACTTAGACTGCAGATACTGTAGAGAAGAGAGAGAAACTGCATACCATGTGCTTGGGAAGTGTCCGGCACTGATGCACAAGCGGAAGAAACACCTAGGATGGTATTTCATGGATCATAAGGGTCCAAGACTAGGAGAGATAGGCTATATACTGTGTTTCATTAAAAAAATCGGACTTGGAGAAACACTCTAATTCCACTAAGGGGCACAATAGATCTTTTAGGTCGCAGTGCACGATCACTTCTTTTCAACAATACTTCTGTTAGCTGGTTTTTTTTGCTATATATATAGCTAGTATATATTTTCTTTTGCTAAATTGAGCACAGGCTACGTGCATGAGTAGAGTGAAGTGGGTTAGTTTGTAATTTGAATGAAATCAATTCACTAGGACAAATTTTTAAGTTTATGTTATTATCCACTATTATTAATTGATTTTTAATTTGATTTAACAGAACACAATAAGTATATATGCGTTTATAAAGTTATAACTATTTTATTGGTTTAAATCTCATAATTATTATGTACTATAACTTTACGTATTGTTTGTGTAAAGAACAATTTATTTCCGAAATTTAAATAAATTATTTATACATTTTTGTTTATGTGGGATTGATTGAATCAGTTACGGAAGAGCCAAATATATAAACAATCAAATTTGCTGCGTCAAAATAGAATAAAATTTCAATTGTCTATATAAATTTGTGTGAATCAACAATATTTTGCAGTATTTAAATTTTAAACAGTTGCAGAGCCATTTAAAAATATTTATATAAACATTATTTTTATTTATATTTATTTTGACGGAAGTATGAGTTTTCTTTCCCATTCATTTACAAAAATTCCCTGGCTGAAAAGTTTAATTATTTTAGGTAATGCCTTTATAAAATAATTCATGTTATATTGAATATTAACTTTTCTATTAGAGTTCGTTCTCTGGTCATGGTATTCAGAAATATATTCATTTTTTAAGTTTTATAGTACTTTTAGATTTTGTTATTAAAATAATATATTAAATAATAAAAGCAGTTAGTTTTGATATGATTTTATTCAAAATTCATAAATAATATATTAGAATCATACATTTAATTTAACAGGGGTTTGTTTTCTTCATAGCTAACACTGAAAACTTGTAAAGTAATGATATTGCTAATGAAACAACTTCATACTTCAATGGAAGTATAAATAATGGAAGTTCAAAAGTAATGACAAAACATTTTCTGCTCACTAATTAATAAGAGTGGGACCAATTATATGCAGGCGTAAGTCAACATGCTCTACTAAGTTTAGAACGATGACGAATGGCATACGTCTAATAGTTATATAGGTACAGACAAGACTCATTCGGTTAGTGTTACCAAACTCACCGTATATGTGTATCTATTTAAAACAAAATATCTGTTGTAGTGAGTGTGCTCTGCTAAACTAAGAGCTTCGACCTATTAAAGTATAAAACTTTAATTCTACCTTTGATTCTTACAATAAATCTTTAGTGTAAAATTTTATTTCCGGATCACTATCATAATTCATTTTAATCTCACTTATCTGATATTTCTTAAAATTTATATTATCAATCCAATATCCGAAACCCTGTTACCTATTTACCTAGTGTGGTTCATGTATCCATATAAAAAGATGAAGAAATTGTGCTAAGTTTGTGTGTGTATTCCAATAATAAATGTTTTTAAATGTAAGCAAATTCCCTTACCAACTTAAATACTTTTGAGCTTATGTAATCCACCTACCTATTTCACTACAATTCAACTCATCCTTGAGCTTCATTATTGTGTTGTTGTTTTTTGTTGTTGTTCTTTCAGAAAATACACAGTCACACGAAGGCGTGAGTCGTTGTTATTGGCTGTGGGTTGGCAACGCTGAACTTTCGCTTGAAACAGATTTGTACTGAAATATGAGGTTAATAAACTGAAAGTAGGTCACTAGAACAACATGCAATTTTTACACAACACCAAAAAGAGAGACAACAACATATCGAAGAGTGCAAGTGTGCAAATAGTTTTCACCGAAGTACACATTCAAGGCGCACGTAGCGCTGGAATGGTTGAGAGGCAGCATTGAAAAATAAATCCATATGGCTTACAAGTATAGCGTTCTTATGTTCTGGTTGTGCGTGATTGTGTGTGTGTGTTTACCTCAAACCTACAAAGTGGTTAAGGATGTGGAAATGTGGAAATAGCAGTGGATATAAATGTGGCTTCAACTAAAGCAATCTGAGTGGTAGTAAAATTTAAGATAGGAAATTTGTTTTGCGCAAATTACCTTATAGTATTGCATTTTTGGCCTCTAAAACAAAGAAACGGAAAAGTTAACCTGCTGTGCTTGAACGGCAAATAGTGGCACTATTTAAGGACCTACGGTAAAAGTGAGTTTCTGACGTGAGTTTTTTTGAATTTATATCGTAGGGGCGCTTTTGGTAAATTCTCTCTTTTTATTATTTAAGATTTATCGAATCGTGTCGTTCTAATGAAAAATGACTTTTTAGTTTGAACACGAACACAAAAGAAAAAATTGGGTTAAATTTCGACTAATGGAATTTCTAAAACTATTTTATATTTAAAAGTTTTGCAAGGAATTTTTGTTAGTGGCTTGATTAGATATTTAATCAGGCGATAAAAAAAAATTTCAATTAATTTAAGTATTTTTCGAAAAGAAACTTAAAGAAAAACAACTTAAATCAATCCGTTTGTTATTTTTGGCTTTATACCCAAAAGGGGAAGGGAAGTATGGGACTTATTACACAAGTGAAACAAGGTTATTTAGGACTATCCATGGTTTAGAAAGTAAACGTATATAAAACACACTTACGATTGAAATTTCGATCAAATTTTACTGTAATATATTGTTTGAATCTTATCATTATGTGTAGTAACATTCAACATCATTGGAATATCATCCACGGGACATTTTACAGTAGTAGATCCTTTTGATATAATCGCTAACTATAACAGCAATTCTGGTGAAGCAGGCCATTAGGTGTGAGATACAACATCATTTAAATGTCCTTTACATTACAATATAAAATATTGCTGGATTTAATATACTTCAGTACTTCTGCTTAAGCATTTTGAAATCACTGAATGTATTATAATAATATTATATTTGCTATTTGAACTTTTCAAAAATCATGGACAGTTCACACTATTCAAATTATTCAAAAACTAACAGAACCAGCAGATTAAAGCAAATTTAGAAAAGAAGTGTAAAGACATACCAGCCTATGAAGCTTATATATTTTAGGGACATTTACAAAATATTACTAGATCTGTGTTTTCATTTCTAAATAAATAAAATAAAACAAAATAAAATAAAATAAATTAAATAAAATAAAATAACTTTTGTTGGTTATAATAAATATAATTTAATAATAAAATTTTCTACAAATTCAACATTCTGGAGCTCCAATCAGATTTGAGCGTATTTATTACAGCTATTTTACCATTATTATTTTTTTAGTTAAACTTATTGTATACAGCTAGTAAATTTAAATAATTAGTTAGTGTGGGAGGAACGAGCCCTCCTTTATTTAGCTAGGAAAGCCGTTTTGAATCCACAAAACCTCGCAAAAGTGGGTAGTAGAGAGAAGAACTAGCCTGAGGCATTCATAAAGGCTAATGCTAAAGATATCGCCGAGTGTGTTGAAGAAGGGGGCCCCAGAAACTTAAGCCA